TCTCCACTCTCTCTCTCCTCTCCCCATCTCTCTTCTCTCTATATCTCTTCTCTCTAATCTGTCTCTCTCTGCTGTTTGTCGCAGTTCGTTCGACGTCTCTCGTGTTTTTCATTTATTAAACGTTATCTCAGCATCTTTCAAGCCTGATGGAGATAGGAGAGGAGGACAATGAGAGGGGAGGGAGATGCGAGAGAGAGGGAAGAGAGAGTGCGGAGAGATGAGACGGGGAGAAGAAGACGGAGGCTGAGAGGAAGAGAAGAGAGGAGAGACGAGCAGAGGAGATTTAGAGGGAGAGAGATAAGAGCGAGAGAGAAAGAGAGAGCAGAGGAGAGAGAGAGAGAGAGAGAGATTTAGAAGGGGAACAGAGAAAGCAAAATTTAGAGAGAGAGAGAGAGAGGGAGAGGAGATGAGAAAGAGACCAGACAGAGAGCAGAAGAGAGAGCAGGCACGCGAGCGATAGCAAGAGAGTATCGATGGATGCTGTTAGAATCTCAATCGCGGTGTATACACTACACGCTACCAACTCATCTCATCCGAGGTACAGTAGCTTCCACAAAATCCCACACAGAGTGCGCCGACAACGCGACAAAGGAAACCCCGTCCTCCCTCCTCCTTCCGTTCGTTATATTCACAAGTCTCACGAGGGTGCGCTGGCCACGCGACGAAAGAAACCTCGTCGTCGCTTAATTGACGTTCTCTTCGTTTCAGGTCGAAGCAGCTGATACGCTGGCGCCATTCCCTCCGACAAACGTTGGACTTTCTCTTAGAAGAACCTCGCCACAACAGGTGCGCAGAGATCGTCGATTGCAGCTCACGAGGAAGACGATAGCCAAGCGGTCATAATGGTCATCACGACGAGGAGAGCCAGCGCCAGCCAGCTGTTCGTGCTAGCAGGTCGAGTTGCGTGAGCGTCTAGGTGCGTGCGTGCGTGCGTTGTGTGTGTGCGTCGTGTTCCAAGCAAGTGGTGTGGTGCGTGTGTGCTGTGTGTGTGTGTATGCGTGTGTGTATGTTGTGCTGTGGTGCGTCGTGCTAGCATGGCGTGCGGCTGTGGTGCATGTGTAGTGTGTGTGCGTGTGTGCCGCGTGCGTGTGTATGTGTGTGTGTGTGTTGCTGTGTAGTGTGTGTGTGTGCGTCGTGCAGCAGGTGTTGCGCTGTGGCGATCGCGTGCGGGTGCGCCGTGTGTGTGAATGTGTGTGGTGTGTGTGTGTGTGTTGTGTGGTGCGTGTGCGTGTGTGTAGTGTGCACTCATCCTCTCATTATCGTTTAACTCGGTATTATATATATATATCTATATCACAGGCCATTACTGTAATAATATGTATACATACATACATATATAGGATACATATATACAGGAGTGAATAATAATATATCTAGTATTATTATTAATCTGTTATTATTCACTCCTGATATATATAACAGTAATGGCCTGTGATTGGATGACACACGGTCACGTGTAGCAAAATGCGAAGCCCCTTGCCGAGAAAAAATACGGAGTGAAATCGAATGAGAGAATAATAGGAAGAAGAAAAGAAATCCTTCTGATGCAGCGACAGGATATTAAGTTGCTTTCTTGTTATTATTNGAGAGAGAGAGAGAGAGAGAGACAGACAGAGAGAGAGAGAGGCAGGGAGCGATAGAGAGAGTTATGATGCTGTTAGAAATAGAATCCATCGCGGTGTACTAGTACTACACTACACGCACAAACTCATCTCATCCGAGGACAGTAGCTTCCACAAAATCCCACCAGAGTGCGCCGGCAACGCGACGAAAGAAACCTCGTCCGTCGCTAATCGAGCGTTCTCTTGTTTCAGGTCGAAGCAGCTGATACGTGGCGCCATCCTCGACAACGACTTTCTAAAGAACCTCGATCACAACCAGGTGCGAGAGATCGTCGATTGCAGCTACGAGAAGACGATAGCCAGCGGTCAGATGGTCATCACCGAGGGCGAGCCAGGCCAGCAGCTGTTCGTGCTAGCAGGTGCGTGCGTGCGTGCGTGCGTGAGTGCGTGCGTGCGTGCGTGTGTGCGTTGCGTGCGTGTGTGCGCGTGTGCGTGCGTG